TCCTACGGCCAAAAAATTATGAGATTTTACTAAAAATTCAAATGGACACAAAATGTTCTGCTGACATCTAAAAATATAAACAGTAAAAGTAATATCTGATCCCTAGCTATAAAAAGATAAGACAAAGCCTCCAATATAAGGAAAAGTATCTAAATAATAACACACGAGGTGACACAAGGGATCATCTTGTTTGTATATTTTGAGAAATGCATACTTCTGTTGGCAAGTATTTACGTATTTTTTTGTCCAACACTCCTGTAACGGGTAGTATACTTCAATAGTCAGTTCTGTGCTTAACACTCCCAACGAGCATTTTATAAAATATGTTTCAAAGTCATTATGAAGGATTTGCATCTATTAGGGATACATTGTTATTACTTTTAGATTTACATTGAATATGTCACTCATGTACAGTCACTTCTGTTAGGGCTAAATTTGTAACAATAGTAACCAAATAAGTTACATTAAATACATTTATAACAGCTTTCAGTTAATTTAAAAGTGTATTTTGTAGAAAATGGCATTTCAATTTACTGTATAAAGTTTTTAAAGTTTTCAGATTAAACATAAGAAAAAATGGTTTATATTGAATATGTCACCCATGTAACAGTCACTTCTGTTAGGGCTAAATTTGTAACAGTAGTGACCTAGATACAGTTATAACAGCTATCAATTAATTTAAAAGTGTATTTTGTAGAAAAGGCCTTTAAATTTACTCTTTAGACTTTTTAAAGTTTTCAGATTAAACATTAGAATTATGGTTTATTTTTTAAAACAAACGATATAACATTATACTCATTTTGCATAAAGTTCATGCTCTCCGAAAGAAGAGCATATAATCAACGTCTTGTCCGTCTGTCCTTCTGTCCGTCCGTTGTATTGTCCGGAGCAACCCTTGGAATCCCTTCGAGATAATTTGTTTAAACTTCACATAGTGGTAGAGGACACCAAGGTTGAGTGCAATGTCAAAGAACCATAACTCTATTTTCCCCATTTTTGAATAATCTCCATTTTTAGAAAAGTATTTTCCGGGTTATATTTCTAAATCTATAAGTCTTAGAGATATCACCATGAAACTTTGTGGATAGATAGATCTTAATGGGTAGCTGTGTATTGCACAAGATCAGTAACTCTGTCATGCCTATTGTTGGAGTTATTACCCTTTGTTTATTTTTACACTTTGAACTTTGCCCGGGACATAACTCTAAAATCATTAGAGATATCAACATAAAACTTTGTAGGTAATTAGATCTCATTGGGTGGAGGTGCAGTGCAAAAGAAAAATTACTCTGTTCTTCCCTGTCTTTGAATTATATCCACTTTTAGATAAATCTTGTCCAGGTTATATCTTTAAAACTATAAAAAGATATCAACATAAAACTTTGTAGATAGAGATATGTATATGGGCAGCAGTGCCGTGCACAAGAACCGTAACTCTGTAATGCCTAATTTTGGAGTCATTGCCTTTTGTTCATTTTAACACTTTGAACTTTGTCCGGAGCATAACTCTAAAATCATTAGAGATATCAACATGAAACTTTAAAGGTTATTAGATCTCATTAGGTGGAGGTGCAGTGCAAAAGAACCATAACTCAGTTTAACCACATTTTTGATTATCTCCCTTTTTAGACAATTTTTGTCAAGGACATAACTCTTAAATTAAAAGAGATATTAGCATGAAACGTTGTAGGAAGATAGATCTAAATGCGTCGCAGTTCAGTGCAGAAGAACCGTAACTCTGTTTTGCCTAACTTTGGAGTTATTGCCCTTTATTTTTCTACACTTTGAACTTTGTTCTGGATATTACAGTAACTCTAAAATTATCAGGGATATCAACATGGAACTTTGTAGGTCGATAGATCTCATTGGGTGAAGGTGCAGTGCAAAAGAACCATAACTCTGGTTAGCCCTGTAATTGAATGATCTCCCATTTTACAAAACTCTTGTCCGGGACATAACTTTATAATTATAAGAGATTTCAACATAAAACTGTGTAGGTAGATATATCTCAAAAGGTACATGTGCAGTGCACAAGAACCGTAACTCTGTCTTGCTTTATGTTAGAGTAAATTGCCTTTTGTTTATTCTTATACTTTAAACTTTATCAGGGTCATAACTCGGAAACCAAAACAGGTATCAACAAGAAACTTTATAGGTAGATAGATCTTATTTATTAGAAGTCTAGTGCAAATAACAGTTACTCTGCCTTGCCTAATTCTGGTATTATTGCATTTTGAACTTTGTCCAGGAACATAACTCTTAAACTACAAGAGGTGTCAAAAACCTTTTCGGGGAGCAACACCCAGTTCAAACCGGACTCTTGTTGTTACAGTAGTGACAAAATGTGTTACAGTAATTACTTATGTATAGATAATGATACCTTATCATAAGAAATTGTCAAAAGTGACTATATCCCATGTATGCTAACTGTCTAAATGTCTAAATGAATGTTTTTAGTACGAATGTACTAATTTCTCAGAAATATTTGTTAGGGTGGTTCTTATAGGCTTAAACATTGTTACACAAGTGACAAATTAGTTACTGTACACGCGTGTAGTAAAAAGAAAATTGTTAGTAAGTAATTTTGCAAACTTATTTATTCTTTTATGAATTCGAAAAAAAAGACAACAACAAAAAACCTGTATTTTTATGATTTCATCTATATGGTTGTAAGTCAAAATGTGACAATAATTGCAGATTTTTTAAATGCAGAGTTTACAATTTTCATTTAATTTTATTGTAATTAATCCTTCCGAGATCTTACTTTGTTTCCATATTTTTATACACAACAGCAAGTGTCAAGTGCCACGTGGCAGCTGTAAAAGTTTCGTTGCACTTCAATTCAGTGTAGAAATATTTTTTCTGGTCATTCGGGATCATTGATGAGAATATTGAGTGTTCAGAATTGAATACCTCTCAAGCTGGTGTTAGGGGTCGTAAAGGATGTTGCGCATTATCCCTCATATATGGACAGACTCAATCAAACCGAGTCTGTCTGCAATTTTCACGTAATTTTGTTGTGATGAATGCTTCTGAGGGATCACTTTGTTTTCAGATTTTAAAATCATTTGTTTTATAATTGGTTTAAACATATTTGTTTAAGCTCGATTGCAAAACAAGTTCTTGAAAATTATATTTATCATTTTTTAGCCCGCTTCCTGGAACCAACCAGTACTGGTGTCATATGGAGAAACATGGTCGTGACCCGAGTAGGGCTCGAACCATTGATATCTGGGTTGAGAGGCAGACACCTTGATCACTAGGCCACCACTCCCCTTGTTTTGTAATTTATTAGTGATAGAGATTGTGTTATCTAATATTTTCAATTACAATATTGTGTTTAAGTATCAATTGATGTCTGGAGAAAAAGTATTGCTTAAGAAAATTTAAAACCGCGAACTTGAAAGTTTTGCAGGCTCAGTTTTCTTTAAACGATCATTCATGGTCCTTTAAAGTGCACGCTACTGTTCACGCCCCTACCCCTAGTGGGGACTGATTATGGTTTAGTGAAGAGAAGATGGTATTTGTAGGTAAGTAGAAAGAAGTAAGTCAGCAGAATAGTTTAGGTATTTAAAAAGAAGTATTCGTAACATGACAGTAATCAACAGAAAGTTGTACGTCAGATAGTAATTAAGATGAAAGTCGTGGGTCAGTAGAAAACTGTTAGGCGGTACATAATTTTAACTCAACTCAGTCAAAAGTTTTATGTCGACAGAATGTAGTAACTTAAGTGGGAGTTGTAAATTAGTCTAAAATCGTGAATAAGTAGTAAGTAGTAAGTCATCGTAAAGTTGTAGCAGAAATTTATGTCAGAAGTTTAAGCCTTAAGTCTGAAAATGTAGTTAGTCAGTAGACAGTAGGTAAGTTGGAATTAGTTAGAAAGTTGATAGTCTGAACATAAGTTATAAGTCTGAAGAAGCAAGCAGAAATAAGTAAGTCAGGCAGAAGGGAGTAAAGCAGCAAAAAAACATGATTAGTTTATAAGAGTGATGCCAATTAGTTTATAAGAGTGATGCCAATGTAAAACGGTAATGTTGTTCGCATATTTAGAACGACATTGAATATAAAACGGTCCTAGCATCTAAAAGTTGTTGATGACTTGAACAAAAAGAACAAAATTGATTTAAAAGGTTTTGATAAGCATTGAGTGTTTGAAAGTATTTTAGTCCAATGTGATTGTTCCATTTTTTAAAATTCTTTAAGTGTCATTGAAAAATGTTCCGTTAAATCAGGGTTCTCAAAAAGATTCAAACCATAAAGAAATTTCATTAAAGCTGACTCATGAACACTAACCTATTCTTAAAACTGTTTGTGCAATGTGAAGATCTCAATTTTGACATTCATAAATGTCTATTTCCCATAAACTTTTTCAAGTTATCTTATTTAACCATACATTAAATAATTTATTAGCATTTATGAAAATTTATTAATATAAAATGTGGGGAGAATAACTGTGACAATATGTTTGGTTATTGACATAACATAAATGTCTTACTTTAATTACCTTCTTGTGTTAATAAATGTAATATAAAATAGAGAAGTACTATAAGTTTGATGAAATTGCATGCATGCATATTTTTGTCACTGCTGTAACAGAAATGTCTCTCCTGTAACTAGAATGTCACTCATGTAACAATATGTAAATTACATTATTTTTACCACGGTCTTGTCAGATGATAATCAAACACTACATAATAGCTTTCAGTTGATTTTTTATCTTAACATAAAATAAAATGGATATCAATAAAAGTTTGTCAAAATAAGTCTTTTTATATATTTTACCAAGGTCTTATCATGGTATTGAAGTAACAGATCATAATCTCAGATGAATTTTACATCTTAAGACAGTATATAATTACATCAAATGTGCTAATTTATATAAATATGATATAAACTCAACAATACAAATATTTACGTTTTTAAAATCCAGGTGTATTTATCACCTAATATTCATATTTGGAACTTTTTTATGAAATTGTTTGAAAAGAATAATACCAAACCTTTTGAATGAAACCTGTCTAGGATGTTTAGTCACAGTATCCTCTTTCTAGCTGTTAAATGTAAAAGTGTGTCAGGATTGTCATGAGAGAAGTAGTCAGGTTATAGTCAATTTTCGTCTGAAAAAAATAAATAACACAATTAAGACATTCTAAGCTTGCGAAAATAATTATTCATCATTGAGAAATATCCCTTATAACACCTCAAAATTTTTATCCCTCATAGAACATCTAAAATTCAAAGATATTCAAACTGTTTCGAAAAAATAGCATGATTCATCTTAGGAAATACCCCTACTTCAGGCTTATTGTGTACAAAGATTTTTAGATTAAAACAAATACTACAGCACCATAGCTTAGTTCGATAATCAAAAAAAAAAAAAAAAAAAAATACTTACTGAAGAAAATTCATAATGATTTCTTAATTTTCGTAAAGTATATGAATTTTGTTTTCAAAATCTAATATGAAACAGGTTGTTTCTTTTCTTATTACATTTGATTGAAAAATCATTATCTAAAACATTTTTTCTACAAGACGTTACATACAATGTTTTTTTCAGGATTATAGTAAGCTTTGCAAGAGGTCTTTTCTTGCACCTATGGTGGCTGATTTGTTCCATTCGTGTTTTCGCCCCGCGACTAAAGTCGAAAATTAACAAGTTAAAATGGCGGGGGGCGCGGAACAAAAATTACATTAATTAGTGAGGGCGTGGGGCGAAGTTTAATAAATAAAACATCGTCGATAAAAAAGTCGATAATTAACATGTTAAAATGTCGGGGCGCAGAGCGAATATACGGTAATTAGCGGGGCCTTTAATAAACGTGTTTTCGCTCCGCACCCCGGTCGTTTTTTTTCTTAAATCTCGCCCCGCACCCTCGCTTATTAGCGAGTTTTCGTCCCACGGCCCCGCCGTTTAAACTTGTCGCGGGGCGAAAACATGAATGAAACAAATTAGCCACCATAGGCACCATCTTTAAAGAATGCAGTTTTCTTTGGGCACAGGCACTACAGCGACATGTAAATTAGTTAGGCACACTTCGGTTACTTGCATTTTTCAGTATTTTCGATAAGTGCTGTTTGTGTGTGTTTGTGCTGTATTTAGTTCCTTCTATTTGATCTTTTTAAAGATGGTTGGTACCGAAAATTTCTAAAAAAATAATATTGAATCACACTGTGATATGTTTGGGGTCAGGATGTCTTAAGGGTCGACGTGTGAAGATGCCAAAGTATCAAGGGGTCTATATGTCGACGATTGAAACCTGTTTATCAAAAAAAAATACGTCAAAAGACAAATTAAAAAGCAGGCAACATATCCTAAGGATTATTGTAAAGTATATAAGTAAGAATACTGGAGCCACCCAAGTTGAAAAGGGCCAAAAAGAAGGAACTAAAAGTACCACAGCAATAATGTTGTGTTGAAAGCCATAGTTGATGAAGAATCAAATTATACCGTTGGGAAGATAAGCGACATATCGGGCCTTTTATGCGTTTTCCATATTGAAAGAAAAGTAAAAATAAAGAATGTGTGCTACTGTTGGATCCCGCATTTGATAATTTCAGGGTAGAAAAGGCCACGGATACATTCAAAGATAAGACCCTAGAGGATGAATGTGGCTTTATTGTTTAATTCCGACGATAAACTTAACAACAAAAGTGTGGGTAGATGAAAACAGAGATCGTGAAGTCGTTGTAGCAGCTTTATTAGCGCTCTTTGTTTTGACGGTAAATTGCTCATTATCGATGTGTTTGAAAGGGGAACTGTCCCATGAACATTTTACCCAAGATCAAGAATAAATTACTCCATGATAATGCACACGCGCACCGGTCAGTCTTAGTTAAAGCTTATTATCCCCGCCGAATAGTCCTGTCCGTCTGTGCTTCAGTTCGTCTATCCTTCTGTCCCATATTTTTGTCCTGAGCATATCTCAAATTTTTTTGAGGTATCAAATTGAAACTTCATAAGTGGATAGATCATATTGAGGAGGAGTGCACTGCTAACAAATGAAAATTCTTCCCTGCATAATTTTTCAATTATTGCCCTTTGTTATTTTTCGAATTTAATTTTTGTCCAGAGCATAACTCAAAAAGCCTTTAAAATATCAACATGAAACTGAATGGATAGATCTTACTCAAGAGTTGTGCAGTGCATAGGAATGATAACTCTTCCTTTCATAATTTTGAGTGTTTGCCTTTTGTTATTTTTCATACTTTATTTTTTCCTGAGTGGAGCATTTATAATTTTTGCCCTTTTATTTTCATACATTTTGTCTGCAGCTTATCTCGAAAAGTATTACAGGTATCAACTTCATAGATAGATATATTTCATTGAGTTATTCCAGTCATTGCCCTTTGTTATTTTGCATGCTTGTTTTTTGTCCAGACAGTAACTATTAAGTATAAGGTTATCAGTATTCACATAAGTTTCAAATCTGTAATCACTTCAGTCAACAGTTTTCATTTCCAAAGACCTCTTAAAATTAAATTATGCGTTTCTACTACAAATTCTTATTTTAATGAGCAAACACATTCAGAGGGGGTGGTCATCTTAAGATTGTTTAGAGAACAGAGAATTCAGGTTTTGCTACACCTAATTTAAAGTCCTGACCTCTACCAGTGTATAAATAGCGTACCCAAAGAACACTTGTTTTCGGAATGGATTTTGAAGCTGGAAAGGTGTGAAGAAGTCCATAGTTAATTTTTGAAGAACTCTTATTGGCGTCCGCGCCGAAGCGCAACGCCCTTAATTGAATGAAATCAGAATTGTGAATGGGCAATTGCAACTTCTCGGGCCTAATCGTCTGTCATAATAGCCGATCATTCCAATTGGTATAAGGGTGTTTGATTATCAAAAATGAAATGTCGCAATATGTACAATGAATAGCGAACTGCAGAATTTCGCAATGCAAACATATCTTATTTTGTTTATGTAACGCTTATCAAACGAAGTACTCGACATCAGGCGAATACATCAAATGATATAAATAAACTTAAATGATCTTTGCTCAAAACATCATGCCGTATGCTGTTGCAATAGCCGTCAGTACTAGCATTTTAAAAGAACTATATCATTGGGGTAACAAATACATTTTAACAATGCCTAGTTAAAAAGAATAAACCATAAAATGTGTTATTTTTAATGTTTTTTATATGTAATTCGGAATCTGCTAATGGCATACCATGTAATGTATCGTCAATAGATAATATCCATCAGTTTCTTTTATTTTGACTTTGTTGCTTCAATAACATTTTGTATTCAATAAGTTGCTTCAATAAATTCTTCTTGAATATGTTGCATGCTTAGAAAAGTTCCTCTTATTCTCAAAATAAGTTCTTCTTATTATCATGCGTTGATTAAATAAGCAATCGTATTCTCAAAGCGTTTCGTTGCTTTCAATGCATTCTTGAAGTAAGACAAAGTTGTTTTAATAAGCTCCTCTTTTTTATCCAGATCAAGTGAAACCGTATTGAACTGAACCACTTTTCTTGTTGATTATTTGTCACAAGCATTAAAATCTTTAAGAACGTGCTGCCATTGCCACTTATTAAAATATTCCCCTCGCATTTTCGATGTTTTAGTTGCTAATAAAGGTAAGGCAGATTGACATTGCCAATAGGCTTTATAAATGTGCCAATACAAAAATAATAAACTTGTTCGTACCAAGGAATAAAACCCATGTTTGCGGATCTTCAAAAACAGTTTTTACAAGACTCTCCGAATCAATCACCTTGTATTGCACAGAAATAGAGAAATACGGAATTCCTTCAGAACTTTCAAACGACAAAATTGAAAATATCACAGGCTCAGTTGGATTGAGCCTGTTCATGGACGGAACTGAAAGTGCAAGTGACCGTCCAGCACGGTCTCAAGCAGAATTCAATATTTACACATATAATATCGTGCAATTTAGAATTTAGAAACGTCCGCAGATGTGTTCATAAGGCAATTATCACGGAACCTTCAATAAAACACAATCGTGCCATTCCACGAAAAGCGGCGGTTTGTCCCTGAGTAAAATAATGCGTGTGCCCTAAACGAGAAAAAAATGGGCGAAACTAAACAAAATGGAATTCAAAGGAGATCAGAGGTTATGAAGACTGCTTTTCACAGATTAGACGTCAAAAGACAAATTTAAAAAGCAGGAACTATATGTTTTGGATGATTCAACATTATACAGTTATGAATATAAGAACCACCAACATAGAAAAACATCTAATGAAAGGAACTAAATACACCATAAACACGCAATCACACAACAATTATGTCGTGCATAACAATCTTCCATGTAACACAGAACCTGTCTCTCATTTTTATTATAATCCAGTCCGCATATAGAAAGTTCAATATAGTACATCTTTTTGCAAATTGCGCATTTTGATAAATAGATTAAATGCATAGTAGAACGAAGTATAATTAAAAGCAATAACATTTAAACAAACCATAGAATATAGAAAAAAATACACCTAGAAAACAAGTTACAAAAAGACAATAACAACATTAAAACAACAACAAAAATGCATATCAGATCAAATTTGCATCTAGATAATACATGAAGCTACTAGCTTTGGGCGGCGGGTAGGAAGAAACAAAACCCAATCTTTCGTCAGCAACTATTTTACTACACTTTGAAGAAACGAACCTATGTATTAATTTTTAAAACCATCTTCTGAAACTCACACGTTTGAAACATTTTATATGGAGTAACAAACAATTCAATAAACGCTTTTTTGGATTGTTATTCCAATCAATTATATTTTTTAGAATAAAAGATATATTATTTTCGTGCACAGCTTCGATTTACAGAGGGTCGAACGTATGGCGGTGCGATACTTTTTTAAGCGAGGTAAAATAGTGCACATATTTTAGACTTATAAAAATGTAAATGTCGTTATTAAAATAGCAAATTTTGTGTGGCAGATTTAGGGCTCTGACCTACATGCATTTCCTCGAAGTTTAGGTACAAATTAACAATGGTTAAAAAGTTATTGAAGGAAAATTGACGGTAACTGATTTGTTTCCGTAACATTATTTGTCTCTTCCTCCAACATTATTCCGTATCGCACCATTTGACTTCGCTTAAAAAGTATCGCACCGCTTACGTTCGTTCCACTGATTAAAAGA